CTTTCCTGCCCAAGCTAGATTCCTAGGATCCAATTCTACATGGGCCACCAAGTACCTCACAAATGACGTATACGCTTGTAGGCAATTATTATGTCAATTAAATATATAAACTGAGCATGAGCATACGACTTTCAAATTAATTGTACTTAATTTTATGTAAATAAAGCGTAAATTCCAAAATTTTGTCTAAAAGCAAATGACTAGACCTTTCTTAAAATTTTGATTCAATTAGAGATTCTGAAATGGCCTACTTGATGAAATTTTAAAAACAGAACACACTATTCTATAGTCCGTGCAACAACACGTGCTTGTAACGATAACAGTGGTCAACTTTTTTCAAACGAGATTCAGTTCCATAAATTTAAATTATTGTACAATTAAATTAGGCAATTTACGCACTTTATAAGTACGTCACTGGATTTTGATAACTCCCTTGACTTTAAGACCAAAGTTAGCTTAATTGGTCATGCAAAACCTTTTTGCAATCAAGTCGTCTATGTTTATGGAATAGCGCTTAAAATCGTTTCATTGTTTTAGTCACTAGTATGTCATTTGTAAATTGGGAGTTTCTATACGGATTCTCATACATTCAATGTACTGTAATGTAGGATAAGGGTAAAATTCCCCTTTTAGTGACCCATCTGGGCAAGTCTTAATCTTAAATATCTGCTCTGTGTTCTACGTAACAAACGTTGCCAATTTAGCTTTAATCAGTCTAATGTTCAAAACAGTAAGTTTAAATCTATTTCGTTACATAATAAAAGAATACGGATACTCAGTGGCGTGCACAGGTTTTCGAGACAGGGTAGGCAACTAAATATCGTATGATTAAACCCCTCCCCCCCGCCGGTCATACAATCATGCTCACACAAGATAGGTACATGTACATAATATATTTTGAAAAGTGCGTTCAAGAATATTGTGGTGTATTGTTTCGCCAAATTACATACACTGACATCTCGCGTATTTTTTGTGAAGTACTTCATCAGCTATTGAATAAGCCAACAAAACTTACAAATAAAGAAAGATCTATTATTTATTTTAATAATGAAGCATAAATTTGATGAACCAAATTTCATTATGGAATTGTTAAGGTTAATCAATCTGGTCAAAATCATAATATATTACGAATTTAAGAGCGTAGGTACCTACATTATGTCAACAAACAAAACAATAACAAGCGCGGCCGGCTGTGGCCGAGCCGGCCGAGTCTATGCGGTACATTTGTTATTACTACATTACATAAATATTAATAATAAATTAATATGTGAATCAGTACAACCCGAAGTCTAAGTTGATATTTTTAAGAATTATCAAACAATAAACAAGAAAATCAAATAAAAGATCCATTATAGTACATATTTACATTACCTACCTTTTACTTGGGTCAATTCTCGTAACTCGAGTACACCTCTGCCTATGGTCATTACCTGAATCTAGTCCGATAAAGGACATTGCGAAATCTTACTGTTTTTACTTTCAACAAACACATAAAATTACCTATTATTCACACACACTTCACAATCGAATAATATAGGTACTTGTACTAGAAACTGAGAAACAAATACACTATTTGAAAAACCTACACATATATTTAACTACTACTACACATTTATGCAACTTTATGTTTAAAACTAATTCCTAATAATTTAAACGAAAACATAAACAAAGCGATCGCACATCACATGAAAACAATATGGCCGAAAACATTGGAAATGAATTGAAGTCATTACCAATAGTCAATTGAGTGTTTATTATAAAAAAAATGTAGCTTAAAAATTAAGGTAACGCAGCGTTTAATTTCAAAAAAACAAACGTTAATTTAGTAAGTCAAATGAAATTGCATCATCGTCTTAAACCAATATTTCATACTAAAAAACATTCATTCATATAATTTGAAACGTTGTAAATGGCGCCATCTTGACGTATCAATAACTTCCTTTTAACTTTTATAATAATAAAGTCAACTCCTCGTTTAAAATTTCTATAAACCGACAACGCGTAAAAATGTTAAACTTTAATTAAAACACTTGAAAAATATTTGTTAAATACGCATTTATAAAAATACATTCGCATTATATCGAACGAGTTCAGAAGTTTCAACAAAAAATTCAATAGATGGCGCTGGTGTACTCCATTCATCAGTACTTTACGATATACATACAAATTTTATCAATTTAAATCCTTTTATGATTTAATTGTTTTTAAAAATACAATAACTTGTTGTTGTTTTATTGTATTTAGAATTCTTAATAAAATACGATCGTTTTCCAAGTGATGAACGAACGGTCCTCTAATTTTTTAGTTGCAAACATTTTGTCAATCAACAGGAATCGCGTAATATAATTATGAATGGTTATTCTGTACCGTGACTATGGTCGTGAACTTCACGCATGCGCGGTGCATACTTTTGGTACATTTCTTTTGTGACGTCACTACTGCCAACCAAGATTTAAGGAATAGTGGCGCATGCGTGGTGCGTGCGGGGCGCATTCATTACTTTACAAAGGCGCGTATTTATGTTAGCCGTTTTTTTACAAACTTTTATTATATTATTGAATTTTAATAAACGCGTTTGTACATTATATGTATGTTATATATTCACGATATTTATAGGTAGGCATTGCCTTTTCGCCTATATGGACTGCACGCCACTGCGGATACTACACACAACAAACAAAAATAAAAAAACATATATGACTCCATTTTGAAATACTGGCTTACATTTAACATGATGTATACTGGCAGCCGTAAAAAAATCGTCACCTAATTTTATGCCTTATTACTATTGTGGTAAGCTTTAATATATGTTACGTATTAACAACAGGAGGAACTCGACGGCTTTCTGGTGGTGTGGAGGCCTTAATCATGGATCGTAATTATCTCATGGACGGAGATTACGTTCACATACATTGTTCCACATAGTAACACCCTATATTTAAGTTCCGTAGAACCATTTAGGCAACATGCGATATGCTTAAATACAAACTTTACGTTTATGTATGAAGAATACCACTAACTCTTAAACCCTATTTCATTGCACAAACAGGTACTAAATAATTTTAATTTAGTTGCGCAACAAAGTTGACACCGCGTCATTGGTTGCGCAACCTGGTCGTGCGACCCATACGATCGTAATGAAATAGGGTTCATTATAACTTCTTAGAGTTGGATCACAATGACCGCCCGAAAGCCTCCAGTCCCCAAAATGGCTATAATATATACCTAGCATTAATTAATGTATAGTCATCACCTTACTTTCAATATTTTGTCATGGATTGGAGATTCTTGTTACATAGTTACTGTCATGTTTACAGAGTATTGTTTCATTTCAATGGACGATTCTACAGTAAATTACATATTTTATATACGGTAAGCATAAACGCTTGCACAAATATAAATGATGTATAAATATTTGTAGCGACGCTTCTAATGAAGCGGTATATCTACAAATTACTGTCAGTTGGACAAAGACATAAAAGATAATATACATGATTTAGTCACTATTTTCCATTTCAAATCGATTTTGATTGAAAATCATAATAATATCTGTGTACACTTCAGGTATAGTTTGGTAAAATAAATGAATGCATTGACCAACTGACAGGCATTTTGGTAAACACACTGCTAACCCGTAGACAGCCTGACTACGTTTAATAGAAGAGCACTGTTTGAACCCTTACACATTAATACTTATTAAAAAATAATGCATCTCTAAACTATCCGTGTCTATAATGGAAGCATTAAACATCGGTCAATTCCGTGAGTGCGAAGTTGCCTAAGCTTAATAATTAAATGCAATGAGGATTTTTGCGCCGCTAGGAGCGCTAGTATCGCAAAAGATCCATAGACAGATATAATATTTGCTTCAATCATGCAATTTGTCAGCTGAGAAGGCTCTTATGCGTCACTAGCGTCAACTGGCACAAGATATAAACCCTCATTCATGAATGAGGAGTAACATTTTATTTACTCCCACATTATAATGGTCCATCTTTTACAATTTGATATAATGACACACCCGAAGTGCTCACACAACCAGAGGTATCTAACTATAGCTACCAAGTACTGAGTACATTACTCAACTATGAATCTAAAGCGCAATCATTTCGTGTATAATGTATGGAAGATTAGGATCGACAGAAACTATCAGTCTTAAAATTAAATAAAAGATAATAAAATCAACTAGCATCGGTCTTTAAGTATAAACTAGAGTGAATGCGTTTCGCATTTTTTGAATACTTCGATGTATCATTAATAATGTATAGTTGCGTTCTTTACGATAATGTTACGACATCATACAACATATATTTTTTATTCTATTTATTGTACTAAAAATGTAGATTACTGCTTTGCAAATTTAGTAGTACAAGTTATGTTATGCGTCCGTTATCTTTATCGAATTTTAAACCTAAGCAGTGCTGTTTGATGTCGAATCACTATCGATACAGTCTGTAACAGCTTTCTGATATAATTTTAGACTCATCAGCCACTACATAATAAGGTTATTCGCGCCACTTGAAGCACTAGTGTGGCTTAAGGTCTATTAATAGTCCAATAGAACATTCGCTGATTGTCAACTTGTGACAGCTAAGCTGATTGGACTAGAATACGACCTTAGCCGACTAACACCATCTAGTGGACACAAAATCGAAACACCTCATTGAAACTATCAAATTACGAAGATCATTTTAAAACTATAAATCACAATATTTATAATACAATTGCATTTGGGCCTATATAAATGATAAGTTGCGCCAAAACCGTTGGCTTTAAATAAATAATATTATTATGTACCTTGATTGTTGCAATAGCAATGCCATTCTAATTGTACAGGAAATAGCCAATTCGATATTCTAGAGCAAATTGTGTGGGATTTTTCTGAAAAGAAATGTTTTATATTAGTCAACAGTCAGGTCTCTTTTATGGAAAATAGAGTGACTAATAATGAATACATGCATTAATAAAGTTAGAAATTTAAAATGCACTTTAATACTTACACGATATGAACCAATTTCCTCCACACGTGTGTATAATATTTTATTCAAATTCGAAGTGGATTTGCTTGCGAATTATTGCAATTTTTATAGTAACATGTTCAATGGGACATACCGAAAATATTTATTTCCATGCATACCCTTATTATTGAAAATATATATTTTTAATTAACGTACGAATTGACGTAAATGTAATTGACATTATAATATGGTACTTAGAAGGCCAATTGACATGGTAAAATTGATGAACTGAACATGTTTTTGTATAGTTAATGCTGTTTCTGTATCCTCTATATACTGACTACACGTTCAGACTGTTAATAGATTTGCAATTATTGTCATACTTTCGTAAAAATATTTACCTTATTAGAGCCATTTGAACAAAAAGGACGGGTATGCATATTTAACATGGAAAAAAATATTTTCTTTATATCCTGCGATATTTCTGTGTTCACTGTGAGATCGTATAGTTGTCCAAGGGCATGAAGTCTTCGCTTTTCATATGAGTTTCGTTGTTTGCCATCTTGTAGCCCCATAGAGACAAGGCTTCTTTGCACGCCCTCTGTAAAATGGATATCAAGTTGTTTAAGTTATTTTAGTCACCAAATGGCGAAGAGATTTATTGCCCATTCACTGCAACTATCAAATATCGAACATCTAATGGTGGGACACTATTTAATTCCCTATTGGACGAAGAACGAGAGTTTAACACTAGCGCCATCTATTGAGCCAAAATACGATAGCCCCCATTCTGTGAAAACATTTCTACAATAAAAATTATTTCAAATATGCTGTACTTTGCATTTGACTGGTGTCAGAAGTTGGTTTACATTTCGAATACATGCAAAATCAACATCCAGATCTGTGTGTGTTATGTTTTGCTCATTCGGAAATAGCACACAGCACACGTGTTCACTAATTTTTGTTCTAAAACAACAATTATGGTTTATGGTAGAGTTATTCTGTCCTAGATTCCAACCCAGGGGTCCAAGACAATCGAAAAATGTAATCTACTCACGTCGAAAATTAATCACCTACGTCAATCCAAGATCTTTTTTTAAATTAATTGCATGGACTGCCTCCTTGGCCGAGTGGTAGCAAGTGTGACTGCCAGGCAAGGGGTCTCGGGTTCGATTTCCGGATCGGGCAAACTATTACTGGGTTTTAAAAAAATCTCAGCAGTAGCACGGAGTCTGAAATTGTGCCCGGTATATGGCAATACGCTCACCTCCTATTACAAAGAACTCATAACATAAATAGTGAAAAGTGGGTGTTACATTGTATAGTGGCATTAAGTGCCGTAATGTGCACCTCTGCCTACCCCTTCGGGGATAAAAGGCGTGATGTTATGTTATGTACTTGTATGGGGGTTCTGTCTATAACTTAAATGAATCCAAAGACTTTGGAGTAAGATTATTTATTAATTTCGACCATACGAGTTTGGTCGAGTAAATGGTACAATACCTAAACCCTGACATCCATGTTTGTATACCTAGAAATAAATATTTGCGAACGCAGCTCAGGTAAGCATGGTTCTAGTATAAACATGAACATCAAACATTCTATTTACTAAAATTTCAAACAAACAATATATTTGGTTTAGTAACCACATGTTACATCAATCATCAATTTACTATGTTCGGCCTAGATATTTTAAACAATACTGGGTAAAAACAATATTCTAGTAATTTATCCAGTTCATGGAAAAATGTATCTACTACACTACACTATAGGTACGCATGTCTTTATTTATTTTTTAAATGGGGGAAATCATCTAATTACTTTTCACGCCTCAGTGAGGGAGTGTCAGACTCTTACTGACTAAAAACCACCCCGTTCCTACTCCTGCCTTTCGAGCCGGAGCCCCTGCAACCCGTCAAGTCCTCCGCGGCTCCGTATCGGCATCAGACGTATTGAGCCCCATCCGTGGTGGTCTGATGGGGCCCAACCTCTTGAAGCGCGCGCGGAACGCGACGCGCCCCATGCTCGGGAGGTATACATGTCCACTTTTGATTTTTAGTTACAACTATCTTTTGCTCGCATTTTTGGACGCGGATAAATTCTTTGATGACCAACAAACACGCTAAAGTCTATGTTTCGGTAGCCAGTTGTTCCAAATCTTTACGAATTACACACTACAATCAACTGGCAAAAATTGTATAACAAATCCGTTCAGCTTTCAGCAGTTTTGGAGTTTTTTGCTTACAACATGGAACACATACCTGTATATCATCCACATAAGTAAAGTTGAGAGTATTCTTCCATTTGAAAGGCACCTCCTTCGATACTCTAAACGTGGAGCTGACTCCAGCAACATCAACGTTAGTGTGCAAATCCAAAAACTCATCTAGCAATCCCGTGGCACTAATCTTTAGGAACTTTAAAATTCGATAAGCTGTTTCGTTAGGTTGCAATGCTAGCTCTTCGTACCGCAACACCCTGGAAAGGAGGAATGAGAATTAAAGCCTATAATGTATTAGTTATCTTCTTTTCTAATACTATAAATGTGACACTGTATCACAATCACGTACGTATTCTTAACTCCTTAAACCGGTACAACTGCGAATCCTAAAGACCTCTTTTATGAAGTCGGTTAAAATAAAAAAAAACCATCAATTTTTTATCGAACTATGAATCGTAAACGATAGGTACAACTCGTGCTTGCGACATGTCGAATTCGGTGAGGCACCCATCCATTTAATTATACGCAGCGTGATTGCAATATTAAATGTAAGACCTTGGTGGTCTAGGTCAAAACAATGCCGACTAAACACCACAGAGTATGGTTAGTCGTTATTTTGTAATCTGTGGTTTAGGTTGCACTAAAACATACATGCTTAGCTTAGCTTTTACTGCAACTGTGCCTGCTCTATGCATCATTTTACCTATCTTACATAACATTTACAAAATGATGAAGTAATTGATTATGTGTAAAATCCTTACTAATATTATAAATCGGAAAGTGAGTTTGTTTGTTCCGCTTTCACGCCGTAACTACTAAACCGATTGCTTTGAATTTTTGCAGACGTAAAGTTAGAAGTCCGGATTGAATAATAGGGTACTTTTTATCCCGGAAAAATTTGATATTCCCGAGGGAAAACAAAATTATTGGTATAGATGGCGCTGTGTGTATTGGTATACGTCACATAGGTTACTTTATATCCTTTTGTGACGCGAGCACAAAAGTAAAGTTAGAAGTCTGGATTGAATAATAGGGTACTTTTTATCCCGGAAAAATTTGATATTCCCGAGGGAAAACAAAATTATTGGTATAGATGGCGCTGTGTGTATTGGTATACGTCACATAGGTTACTTTATATCCTTTTGTGACGCGAGCACAAAAGGATATAAAGTAGTGAAATTTTAAAGAACAATAAAATATTTTTTATAGATATATCTATAAAAATGAAACCAAATCTGACCTGGCTCATTTGCTCCTAGCATTCCTACCTCTATATGTCGCGGAGAACCTAACGGGTAACCGGGGCTCCGGCTCGACGTACAAGAGGGAGGGAAGGAATGGGGTGGTTTTTAGTCAGTAAGAGTCTGACACTCCCTCCCGCCTCACCCAGGCGGGAGCAGTCATTCGATAATTTTCCCCACTTAAAAAAAAGCATTCCTATATAAGTATAGGTACATTTAATACACAGTATTGGCGTAGCGTATCTTAGCGGAGCCCCGTATAAAATTTTGTTTGGTAAAAATTTCTCAGAAGGGATTTTAGTTTTTCCAAAGTTTCTGCCATAGAATAGAGAAATCTATTTCTGCCAACCTTTGAAAGCATGCATTTTGTGATTACTGAAATAAAATATAAATTGCGAAGTTTTTATTTTTTTTGCTTACACACGTTGGGGGCTCCCTTAGTCTGAGGGCCCCATATAAATGATACGGCAGACACGGCGCTAGCTAAGCTCCTGATACATAGGTAAGTACATAACGTGATACTTTTTAACCGCTTGAAGCCCGTATATGAGACAATAGAAATTACATTGTGTCTCGCGTGGATCCACATTTTAGACACACGACGGGTTAATCTCCAAAGGGTTAGCCAGAGGCTTACATATACATACACAATGTCAACTACTAATTTTTTACCAGTTATGTCATTACTAGCTACTTCCGCGCGATTTCACACGCTCTGCTAAACTCCTATTGGTCGTAGCGTGATGTTTTATAGCCTATAGCCATCCTCGATAAATGCGCTATCCAACACAAAAATAATTATTCAAATCAGACTTGTAGTTACGGGGATTAGCGCGTTCAAACAAACTCTTCAGCTTTATATAATAGTAAAAGATAGTATAAGAGTATATTAAAATGATGATAAGTCACACAAACCAAGAGTTCATGCCATAATTGAGGAAATTAAGAAAAAATGAAATGTCTTCAATAATATTTGCTCTAACTGGGAATCCAGAACCGAGATTTGATAATTCAAAGAGTAGAAATATTAGTATGCTTCATAATCAGCTAAATAGAAGGACAAAATGTATCTGTTTATTTGGACTATTAACATTTGAGATAGATATATATGTACCTAATAAATTTATATTCTGTACACCTAAAAATATAATGTTTAAATTGCACATGATTAGCTCATATTACATACAATGATAACTAATTAAAAGAGTCAAATAGCACTCTATGCAACATGCTTACCAATTATATTATGTGTTATTTAAATTTTCCTTCCATATGCTTTTTATTAGCTAAATCAATAATTTTTAATTCAGTATTGAAATCTGATGTTTACTATGCTATAAGACACTTAAAAAAACAGGAAATGCAATACTAGAGAAACTAGTTATTACATAATTCAAAATTAATTATACTTATGCATGCAAGTATGCATTAATAAACAAGTTACCCAATGATGCTAAATAAAAAAGTAAAATTAGAAATATCTACCTACTTACTAAAGTTAAAGATATAATATAAAGATATGCAAAATATAACTGTATGATTTATCAAAAATTCTCAGAAACAGCTTGAGGATATGATTGCACACTGTTTATGAATATTTTACAAAAGACATGCTTCCAATTGTAATTTAACAAATAAGTTAATGAGTGGAAGAAAATTGTACACATATAAAAGGTTAGACACATATTTCTCTTCATATCTATCCTGAGAAAAATAAAGGAAAAACTTTTTATCTATAATAATAATATTCTACAACATAAAGGTATACTAAAATAAGTACAACAGCATGACACTAAGCACTTTCAGGTAATGTTAAAAAGTAGAAACAAAGAATAACTTACATAAGTCTGTCAGGAAAGTGCTTCTGTATGCGAGCAGCTGCCACATAGTCGCTGATCATATCGGCACAAAGTAGTGGAGGATCCCAACAGTCAGCAGAAGTCTGGCAAAAGGTACGGTGTTGTCTGGACTGCATCACACCTCGAGGATCACGGATCAATAGTATCACCTTCACATTAAGCCTAGAAAAATATACATTGTGATTTTATATTACTTATTTTCATCATGTACATAATTTAAAATACACATTACAATAAGGACCAACTTAAAAAATAACTTTAGAATAATTGGTATAAAATAATATTTCACAACATTTACACAATACCACCAAGGATTGGTAGAAAAATTTAATTTGCAGTTTTAAAAATAAGAACTATTGAATTTTTTGCAAAACCTCATACAGTTTAGGAGAAGTACCAATAAACAAAATTATTACACTGTGAGTGAAAACTTTGTATCCAAATTATAAAATAATACCTACATAAAATGATGTAAAGCAGAAATTGAAATAAACAGCTTGACATGTGGAAGCAAAATTAAATAAATTTTAACAACCATACTCACTCTTTATCATTTAAAACATCCTGGATGAGTCGCAGCCTCATTCTTACAACCTTCATGGTTTGAAACGGAAACAGCTTACATATCCGTGATGTGAAGTCAGCATCACAACACAGTTCGTTCTTATGTTTACAATGGTCCCATAGTCTGGTGTTATGGCTAAATTGATACAAGTGTTTCTTCCCAAAATTAAAATAATCGTCTAACCCTTCATAATCACATTTCATCATAGACTTGATATTGTCTATAGCTTTATCACCATCTGGTGGCCCCCTTATTTGTATAATTCCATATTTAAGTAGTGGTTCATAGTGATAGTAAGTACCGGGGATAGCATTCAATAACTGTCCAAGAAAAGTCGTACCAGACCTCCATGTAGATATGATTAGACTGCGTAAAGGCTGTCCCCCGGACTCTAATACTAAGTTTTCCAAAGCTTGAGCACCAAATTCTGAAAAATTATACTTAGACAGCTCGTATTTGATTTTGGAACGTGTTTTCTCGAGTAATATCTTGATGTCTGGCGATCCATCATATAATATTGTGGGGATATTGAGTAACGTGTAAGCTTCATCTCCAACTTTCAAAAAGTTTCTTACATTTCTCCGGCTTTCAATGGACGGACGATAATAAGTGTTATCTGCATATCGACTTCCAACAAAAATTAGAAGAACACTGATACCAAATGCGAAACATATTGAATAAAAGTTAACTCGCCGCAACATCACGTTACAACACCAACAAAACAATTTTGTAGAACTGCAAGGATGAAGATAATTTATTATAGAACACGAGCACTACCAGAACACACTGTCTATCATTTTTTTTATTGGATTTGATTGCATTTAAATTATAATTCCATAATTTTCGTTTCCGCGGAAACACCGCATTGCACCTTCACCGCCATTTTGAACGACTGACTGACGTATAATTTGACAAAATAACTTTTTAATTTCATAGCACGGCAAAGTTACATCACTACGTTAAACTTTTAAGCTCAAGCTCACTATTACTTTTTTCTAGAATTCAGGTTACAAATGATTAGAAAACAATTTTTCCTAGAAGAAATATAATAAAAAAATATTACAAATCTGCAGGTACGGTTTGCAAGACTATCACGGACCGCAGTAGAAGTAGTATTAGAGGTAGGTATTACTTACTGGTATTAAAACTATGAGTTTGTGAATGTGAATAAAATACGGTCTGTACACTGTACAAGTACGTAGCGAGCGAAGCATTTAAATGTACTTATTCAATTTACATGTAACATGTAATAGGTACACCGATGATAAAAGAGCCATATCATTAAAATATTGATATTGTAAAAACATGGTGTAGTGAAAATAAAATAGGTACCTAAGTAGGTACGGTTTCCTGTGTTTTTTTTCTACAAATGTTATTATTATCATGAATTGAATCAAAATACTCGTTTGAAATCTTTGTAGGTATATACGTACCTATTTAGTTACGTTTAAAGTAATCGAAACGGGACCGCTATAGTATCGCTGATTGGGTGGTTCGTTGAAGCTGGCCAATCAGAGCGCCGAACGCGGTCTCGTTTAAACTGTCAAACACCAAGCGGTCACCGGTGACCGCAACCTATTGTTCTATAATTGTGTCTACAAAACCGGTACTCGACGAGTTAAATTACTTTAGTTTAAACGTAGAGAGAAACTCATGAGAATCCTAATGTCATTGGGGGGGGGGGACTTAAATTATTCTGTGACAGAGTGCCCCTGTATTCGCACAGACTTGGGCTTTATTATTAGGATCTTCTGTGTAGAAAATCGACATGACATATTTTGGTGCATTAACTCATTAAAAATCGGTCTAAATAATAAGCTAAGTAATATACGTTCTTGGCGTGTGTAAGAAACAACTTGAATATTTAAGTATATAAAAGTACCTATCATCTTATAGAAAAAAGTAACCAATGTAGTTTCTTGCTCGTTCTTCTCCATTCAAATGTACATTTTGGAACGAGCAGTCGAGCACCTAACTTCACTGACGGATAAACAGACGGATTATTATTATTTATTCAGTATTTGTTGATGTTTCAAAAGTAACAAATAATGGTTTAGGTTAGAGCCTCAAGTTAGTTACTTACCTTAACCTTACCAAGTGACTGTACAGTTTGAAGCTCTAGAATTAGAATAAAATACTTATATTAGTGACATATAATAGTATTTTTATGTATGTTATAATAGTTAGTAATAATATAAACGTAAATAAACGTTCATATTATTACGAACATTAAATTATTCCATAAAAAAATATTATTTTATTAACTACCTACTTACGCTTAAAAATCCGACTTCAACCCCCTCTTTTTGGAAGTCAGTTAATTAATATACTAAAACCTTCTCCTGAGTGTAACAAACACTGAGGCCTCAGTACGAGTTTGTTTTACGTTTAAAATAATCGTAACGAGTACGCGTTCGGCGCTCTGATTGGTTGGTTTATTGGCGTCGGCCAATCAGAGTGCCGAACCTGTACTCGTTTCGAATACTTTAAACGTAAAACAAACTCGTACTAAGGCCTCTGTTCTGAAAACCGCATCAAAATCGTTCAGCCAATCGCGAGATAGTCTCACTGAGAACTTCCTTTTGTTTGAAGTCCATTACAAAGTAAGTATATCAGAAACACCAGAGGAATCACGAGTGTGTTGCCGACTACGTAGGAGTGCCGAGTACGTACTGTTTAGTTGTCCCATCATTATTGGTTAGCCCATATTCACCGAAACGAACCTGAGAAACTCATCCAATGACTTCTTCCGGCCCTAAGTGAGGCGATAAGGCGTATCTGACTTACCTATTGATTAAAAACCATTCCGTTCTTACTCCTGCTGCGAACTGCAGCCCTGGTAACCCATCAGGTTGTTCGCAGCTCCGGGCCTGAAATCTTACGCTATCCAACACAAAACGAATTATTCAAATCAGGCTTGTAGTTACGGAGATTAGCGCGTTCAAACAAACAAACAAAAAAACAAACTCTTCCGCTATATATAATAGTATAAGAGTATAAGATTAAATATTATATTTTTTTATATTTTATATAGTTGCGCAACTCATAGCGAGAAGTACCTACCTTGATAAGGTCACAGTGGGTGCATTGAATGTCAACACGAGTCGCAAGGCGGGCCTGGCTACGGCCGGTGGAAGTTTTAGCGGTTTAAGAGAACTTCAACCATCATCAATTTTATTACTGTTTGCACTTACACCTGTAACACCTGTATTTACATTTCTCAGTATCCTAACTATTTAATTAATTAAAAGCACATATCTACCTATTCGTTGATATTTAATAAAATTAAAAGAATGATTATTATTTTGTTTTAATTATCTTATGATTGCCAAATAAGGGAGTATAGCTAAAATAAAGACAAGTGAATCTAAAGCGCAATCATTTCGTGTATATTTATTTACTTATTTATTATTTAATAAGCTTCCTGCACAAAATGTACAAATAAGTGGACTTAATGCCGCAGGCATTTTCTGCCAGTTTGGCCTTTTTTTTTTTTAAAGAGACGTTGCTCCACACTAGGATTTTCTCCTGTGTCGTGGGTGCGTTTACAAACACACAATATCACATACACATGACACCCAGACCCGGAACAACAATCTGTAGATCACACAAAGAGTTGTTCCGTGCGGGAATCGAACCCGCGACACGTTGCGCGGCAGCCGGTTGCTCAGCCACCGCGCCAACCGTGCAGTCTTTGTGTATATAATATATGGAAGATTAGGATTGGCAGAAACTATCAGTTTTAAACTTCGGTAACTAGTAAATATAAACTAGAGTGATAGATTCATTCTGTCTCCTACAGTAATTTACCGAGGGAAGTGGAAACTATCGTTTTTTTTCTTCTCCTCCTTCTGATTCACTTCGCTGCGGGAACCAAGACAGTTATTCATGTTCCTGGGATGCGGTTGTCAAGGCTGTATCTACTGTAGATCCTGGCTTACAGGTGATGCAGTTTTGGGAGGTTGTGGCGGGCTTATCCCATTTAAAAAAACTAGAGTGAATGCGTTTCGCATTTTAAACTTCGATGTATCGTTTTAATAAAATTTATAGATGTATGATCTACCTCCTAATTAACTATGACGGCGTTATAATTCTATGACTACGACGAACGTTTTGCACATCGGATCATTTTACTTGAAACTTGACACGCTCTGATACGTGTCCCTATGAAATGTCAATTAATTAGGTTAATTTAATTGCCACAGTCGGGTTAACAAATAAAACTTGGTATGTAAGTTCTATAGAATAAAAAAACAACATCTCTTTACAATAGCCGTCCAGAAAGTTTCATCCTAAAGTTCCACATCAGAGGAGTCAACAGCGTTACGGGTGCTATTTACTGCCTACCTGCAACCAACTATTACTCTCATCTAGAAATGCTTTTTGATTCGATTTCACGGGAGATTTTCTTGGACTTTCTATATAGGATAGAATGTGTAACACTCCACTAGGACTCTACTGAAAAAAAATTATAGGTATAATATTAAAAGTTAGTGAAGTCACTGTCACTTAAATTAAGGTGAACATTTTATTTCCATAATTTTTTGACGAACCATAAATTCTTACATCGCCAAACTAAAGCAGGTAGTAGCTTATCTACAATTGATCATTCCATATCTATATTATTGAAGTACTATTCAGGATAACGTAAGCAAAAACAGACGAAAAAATTAAAAGTTGTAGCAACAAGAGTCAAAAGACTGGTACAGAACACAGGGTGTTAATTTCCGTGAAGAATACATAAGTCACTGTAATTTGAAAAATTACTGAATTGATTTTTTTTATATTTTTCAGGTAACTTTTCGAACCTTGCCGGTCACCATTTAGTTACCTCGATTTCAGGGACATGGTATATGTAGTATATTTATTATTTTTTTCTTTAAAAAAAACTTATATAATTATTATATTTTCTTTTTGCTGTTATTTAATTCTCCGTACCTTATTTACGCCGATTTTCTGTTAAAACCCTAAAGTTGACTGATGGATAATGCCATATGGCATAGGTTCGCCTTATTTAGATACCACTATTTTATTGTATGGTGTACAAGATTAAGTAAATAAAAAATTGGCTTTATTTTAATCGTGTTGCAGTTACTGCCGTGATAAAATGTTTACATCATTAGAGCCATTTAGACATAAAGGACAGGTGTCGGGTATGTACCTACAGTTAAAGGTCAAAAGTCCACTGCCACTGTGAGTGATGTTCACACGGTAATGCGCAAGTAACTTCATATTAATGTGCATAAAAACGCGTACGCACACGGATCAAAATATGCGTGTACGTGTGTGTATAAGCGCTGCAGCGCTACCGATAGTTAGTAGTCTTACGGTGGCAGTGGACTTTTGACCTTTGACTGTACATTTAACATGAAAATATTTTCTTTATATCCTGCGATATTTCAGTATTCAATGTGATATCGTATAATTATCCAAGGGCATGAAATTTTTGCTTTTCAAATGGGTTTCGTTTTTCGCCATCTTATAGCCCCACAGAGACATGGCTTCTTGGCACGCTCTCTGTAACACAAAAACAAGACGTTGAGATCCCATGCTCGAAGGAAATCTAAATAATATTTTATTTCGCCTTTATAATCCCACCTTTTCAATAATGTTGCCACGTACTACGATTTACTCCATAGGTTTTCGGTAGGTAAGTAAATTGGTAGGAAGTTTGTTAAACTTTATGACTGACGTTCAAGTGTGTACATCTAGAAATAAATATTTACGACCGGGGTTTAGCTAAACGCGGTTTTAGTAGCTATACACAGGAGCCTTGAACATTGTACTACAATTTTAAACAAACGCTATGAATCTAACCGCCGTACTCAGAGTCATTTAATCAAAGGAATGATAGATATCTAATTCTATAATCTGTAACTGGTCCGAGGTCCTGGAGATCCGTCATCCAGGGAATTCTAGTATGAACTCCGGATTCTCACAAAGGAGTATACATATTGTTTGCACCTGATTATTGTATCTTATTTCTGTGAAATGAAGGATCATTTTTTGTGTAGAGACATAATAAATAAATTCATTATTATATTATTATTATTATTCAATGGATACTTAATCCAGTCTTTAGCAATTGTTTGAGTAAAAATGTCTGTGAGTATCGCAGGAAGTTTCTGTCTATACGCAATCAAATCTTAAAAAAATCGTCTATCTATTAATGAAAATCACGGACATACAACTGGTGTGTCAGTTTTCTTAATATAATGAGTTACACCTGTATATTATCCACATAAGTAAAGTTGAGAGTATTCTTCCATTTGAAAGGCACCTCCTTCGACACTCTAACTGTGGAGCTGACTCCAGCAACATCCACGTTAGTGTGCAAATCCAAGAACTTGTCTAGCAATCCCGTGGCACTAATCTTTAGGAACTTTAAAATTCGGTAAGCTGTTTCGTTAGGTTGCAATGCTAGCTCTTCGTACCGCAACACCCTGGAAAGGAGAAATGAGAATTAAAGCGTACGTCAGCATCTATTTTAATATTATTATTCAATTTTCTTGCTGTTATCTAACGATTGTGCATGTGGTTCTTATCTGTAAAAGATTGTAGCACTTTATCCTATAATTGTGTAAGTACTTTATTTTACGTATGAGTGTTAACAATTGTCGATGATTAAAAATCGTTTTAACGCCTTTAGGGTAGTCATGGGTATCGTTCGATTGCTTACCATCAGGTGTCCGTTTACCTTGCATTTGGCTAGTGTATTTATTGATTAAGGCTACAAAACATCGCATCGCGTGGTCAATAGGACCCGAATTTGCCGAATTTGTGTTGCAGTTCAGACTTTTGCATTTTTGTTCTAATTCAATTTTGCCCTATTTTGATCTAACTTACATAAGTCGGTCAGGATATTGCTTTTGTATGTGAGCAGCTGCCACATAATCACTGATCATGTCGGCACAAAGTAGTGGAGGATCCCAACAGTCAGCAGAAGTCGGGCAAAAGGTACGGTGTTGTCTGGATTGCATTACAGCTCGAGGATCACGAATTAACAGTATCACCTTCACATTAAGCCTAGAACATTGTACATTGTGATTTAATATTACTTACTTAGGACCAACTTCAACAATAACTTTAGAGATATAAAATAATATTTACTTCACAACATTTAGGCGATTAATTCCACCAAGGGGTGTCAGCAGAGAAGAATATGAAATTTGCAGTTTTTAGAAAAACTATTGATTTTATTTGCAAAATCTCATATAGTGCATGCTGATTACCAAAAAACTTGTACATTTCATTAAACTGTGAGTGAAAGCTTTGTCTAAATTTTAAAATATTACCTATAAATAATCTTGTAGTTTTACTCAAAACATGTACACACAATGTAAAAGCAAAATTAAATAAATTCTAAAAACCATACTCACTCTTGATCATTTAAAACATCCTGGATGAGTCGCAGCCTCATTCTTACAACCTTCATGGTTTGGAACGGAAACAGCTTACATATCTGTGACGTGAAGTTAGCATCATAACAAAGTTTCCTCTTAAGTTTACAATGGTCCCATAGTCTGGTGTTGTGGTGAAACTGATACAAATTTTTCTTCCCATAATTAAAATAATCTTCTAAATTTTTATAATCACATTTCATCATCGATTTGATATTTTTTATAGCTTTATCACCATCTGGTGGCCCCCTTATTTGTACAATTCCATATTTAAGTAATGGTTCATAGTGATAGTAAGTACCGGGGATAGCATTCAATAATTCTCCAAGAAAAGTCGTACCAGACCTCCATGTAGATATGATTAGACTGCGTAAAGGCTGTCCCCCGGACTCTAATACTAAGTGTTCCAAAGCTTGAGCACCAAATTCTGAAAAATTATACTTAGACAGCTCGTATTTGATTTTGGAACGTGTTTTCTCGAGTAATATCTTGATGTCTGGCGATCCATCATATAATATTGTGGGAATATTGAGTAACGTGTAAGCTTCATTCGTAACTTTTAAAAAGTTTTTTACATTTCTCCGGCTTTCAGTGACCGGACGATAATAAGTGTTATTTCGATAATACTGACTTCCAACAAAAATTAGAAGAACACTGATACCAAATGTGAAACATATTGAATAAAAGTTAACTCGCCGTAACATCACGTTACAACACCAACAAAACAATTTTGTAGAACTGTAAAGATGACGGTAATTTCATATAGAACACGAGCACTCTCAAAGGAGTTAGTACGAGATCCGACCGAATACGAGACCGCGTTCGCCGCTCTGATTTGCTGGCTCCACTAAATCAACCAATCAGGGCGCCCAAAGCAGTCTCGTTTCAATTTCGTTAAACGTAAAACACACTCGTACCACACTCCTAATACACTGTCTAGCATTTGATTATTGGATTTAATTGCATTCCAATTATTATTTCATAATTCTCGTGTCCTCGGAAACACCGCATTGCACCTTCACCGCCATTTTGAACACCTGAAACTATAATATTACTTCTACAGCGGTTTCAGAAATGTAATTTTGTGAATGTTAATAAAATGATGTACACTATACAAGTGCTTACGTAGTGAGCGAAGCATATAAATGTACCTAATCAATTAACATGTAATAGCTATACCGATCATAAAAGAGCCATATCATTAAAAAAATTAAATTGCAAAACATGGTGTAGCAAACATAAAAAATACATTTTCATGTTTTATTCTACAACTGATAAAATACAACTTTATCAAATTTCATTAGATTGTTTCTTTGAAATCTTTGTACCTGATCAAATTAAAGTAAAGTACGGGACTTAGATTTTTATAAAGTACGGTTGATACTATGATCTAACTGTGCCTGCGCGAGAAACTACCTATAGAACAATGTAACGCGGGTTCGATTCCTATCGAGGCGGACGAAGTTGGAGGCAGATGCTAGGTTTTTAATGAATTTTAAATTGTTAATACTTCTTCATTGACGTACGTAACTATCAAATAACAAATGAAAGAAATAATCAGTCTTCTCTTCTAGTAGGAAACAAAAATCTCGTGAGATCGAGATCTCGCGAAATCGAGATTTTTTTTAAGTTGGGACAATCATCGAATGACTTCTCCCGCCCCGGGGTGAGGCGGGAGGGAGTGTCAGACTCTTACTGACTAAAATCCACTCCGTTCCTACTCCTGCACTTCGAACCGGAGTCCCGGTAATCCGTTAAGTTCACCACAAGGTTGTGTAGCGACCGTACACCTCGAAGGGTTGTAGATGGTAACTACTCAGACTGGGAATAAAATACTATGCAATTATGTTATCACTTTGTATTTATTTATTTACGAATGTAATATTAGTTAGTAGATACTTACTTTACAGGAATTTTACACATAGAAAGTAAAAAAGAGATATCTACCTGTTTGAAAATAACAAATAGGCAATAACAAGTAGGTAACAGTTAGACTTTGTATCCGACGATATGTCGTTTTCCAATAGTTTCTCCAAGGAAGAACCACATTAATATTTCGGTGCCAACCAAGAAGAGTAGCCAGGCTTGGCGAACTGTTATGTAATTGTAGCACTTGTTGCTGAAAAACTCTTGTACTAATTCCAAGTCTGCGAACAATTTCTGTGAACAAGGAATTAAATTAATATCATAATCAAAGTCCTCAATGTCAGTCAGTAGACGTCGCGGCAGGCCCAAAAGGAGAAGGCGGGACGAATTAGATTTAGACATCTATTACCTACAAGGATTGGCCGCAAAAAGCTTTACATAGAGAGGAGTGGAAGGAGGGTAGGGAGGCCTTGCCTTGCAGTGAGACGATTAAAAACGAAAATTGACGATGGTTGCACCATCGTCAATTTACCACACACAATATACCTACATGACTAAAAAATACATGATTGATTATTATTTTAAATCTATCTTTTTGTTAAGGCAAATAAGGGCGTTTAGTAGTTGAAATAAAGACCCGTGAGTTAGATAAACCACCTAAAAAGCTTACCGTCAATTCTGCCGGACGTGGCGGTGAAAATTCCACTTTGTACCCTTTAAGAACTTTCATCTTCTTCGCCAATTCAGACTTGGTAGCTGCCTCAGCTTTTTCTAAATTAAAATATGAATAAGTAAATAACCAAGTACCGTAACATTATATTAAGATTTTTTTATGAAATAAGAGGCAAACAAGCAGACGGGTCACCTGATGGTAAGTAATCGCCGTCGCCCATGGACACCTGGAACACCAGAGGCGTCGCGCCGCCCATGGACACTCACAACCAGAGGATGGACCACACAGAACTTTAAGGAGTTTCAATAATCAAGGTAACTCACCCTTAATCAATCCCATCAGTTTTTCCTTATGGGTCGAGATGTGAGGTCGGTATACATCAGTTATTTCTATCATCAGTGCCAATCTGCTGCCTAAAAACAAATTTTAGGATACCACCTTAATATGAGGCACAGAGGTTAGGAACTAATTGTAATCGAGGTAGGTACAGCTGTAATATACTGCTGATTTTTATTTTTTGTATGTAAATGCATAAAGTCTGTTAAGGTGATTCCAGACTCCATGCAATTACCTACTAGATATTATTTTAGGTTCATCCTAACATTTTTGGGGTTTGTTATACTTATTCTTACTAATATTATAAATCGGAAAGTGAGTTTGTTTGTTTGTTCTGCTTTCACGCCGTAACTACCGATTGCTTTGAATTTTTGCAGACGTAAAGTTAGAAGTCCGTTTTAAATAATAGCGTACTTTTTATCCCGGAAAAATTTGATATTCCTTAGGGAAAACAAAAGTATTGGTCTATACCAATACTTTAGCGCCATCTATATGGCGCTGTGTGACATGAGCGAAGCCGCAGGTAAAAAAGCTAGTCTTACATAAAGGATGACGGGCAGTATGTACCTACCGATCAATACCGACCAGACGTATGTCGTTAGAAAGATCTTTTCATGAGTATGTATCATTTGTTATTATGGGGGCTAGTCTCAAGACGTTGTGGGAAAAATAATATGGTTTAAAATCAAAAAATAACTACTGTTGCACCGACTTCTAGCATATCAGTGGATTGGTAACTTATCAGAATGTACAACAGTTGTACATTCTGATAATTTGCTAAAACCAGTTATTTATGATTTTAAATTTTAATTTTTGTTTTTAGTTTTTGGTTTTTGTGTTACAACAGTACGGCTGTTGCCAATTCTGTTCCGTTGCATCTTAAATAAGTAATGAGCATCACCATCACCATTACATACTCCATCAGACCGTTTCCGTCTGCAGCAAATGCTGCAATGGGACGCCATTGAACTCGACCTTCAGGTCTCAGTAAATATCATTACTCGTGCTAAGTTGGAGCTGACTCTAAGCTACGTGTAAGAGGAATGTAGAAAAATACTTACGGAACACATTTGTGAATTTTGTCAAATTTAAGCTGTAAGCCATTCTTGTTTTGTAAACTTTATTGATAGAAAATTACAACCGATTCTTTTCCTTGTTTGCAACCAAATAGGTTTAATTATTTATTGACATAAAATGTGACAAATGTCGCCTATGCATGATTTCCACAGATAATGCAATTAAATTGAATAAAAAATAACTACAACTCTATTATCTATCTATACATATAATAAAATTGTAGAAAAGTGCTGTCTGTACATTGAAAATAAAAAAAAAAAAAATAGCAGGGGCTATTGTTATGTCGATGTTGAACCCAAAAATGTAACTAACTTTTTTTTTGTCTGTTTGTCTGTTTGTCTGTTCACGCTAATCTCAGAAACGGCTTATCCGAGTTGGATGCGGTTTTCACGAATATATTGTGGTATGCTTCAGTTATGCTTTAGTGTTTGTTTCATGACAATCGGTTCATAAATAAAAAAGTTATGTCAAATTAAAGAATCACGTCGAACACTATTCTATGCTTATACATACATCTACAGGGTTACAGGTTAAGTCGACCTAAATCCTTTAAGAGGTGGTAGTTGCCATAATTTCTGACTGATTTGACTATGGAACCCCCTAGCCCAAACTTAATCGTTCTCAAGTTATGGGACTTTGAAGATTTTTTATAAAAAATCCAGATTTTTTGTCTATTGTCCCCTTTTTTTGTGTTTTGTACCTCTAATGTTTTAGTTTTTGTATTTTTTGTGTAGCAGATTAGTTGCTCCATTATTTTAAACACAAAAACTGCAATTAACTGTACCAACTGAATCGTATTAGACGACTAATTGTTAAAAAAAGAAATAAATTTCTGAAAAGTTTTTTTTCTTTGTAAGATATTGAATAAAAAGTCTATGACAGTTGTGCTGCAGATATGCTTAAAAATATCTACGCTTCTTCAGCTTTCCGATAAGGTATAATTTGCTAGGGTGATATCAGGATTCTCGGAAAAAACATCGATGAAAGACTCCCAGGTAATAACAAAAGTAACGGTATTTCGTACAGTTGGTCGCAGCGCCTATTGTCCTGCAATCATTGGGCTCCGAAAGCAGGAAAAAATCCTAATAAGAAAAGGGTAAAGGGGTCACAGAGACGTTTCAGCCTTAACGTTTGGATGGGAATAATATCAAGCTATCTAATTGGGCCTTACTTTCTTCCTCCAAATTTTTTAAGACAAGATTTACCCGATTTGCTCGACGACATACCATTAAACCTCATTCGAGACATGTGGTTTCAGCACTACGGGTGCCCCGCGCACTTCAGAAGGAGTGTCAGAGAGTGGCTAGATACTAATTACTCAAATAAGTGGATCGGAAGAGGTGGGCCTATACCGTGGCCAGCTAGAAGTCCAAACTTGACACCCATGGATTTTTATGTGTGGGGGCATGAAAAGTTTGGTTTACAACGAACCTAACCCAATAACATCTGTTGATGTTTTGAGACAGAAAATTATTGATGCTGCTAACGAAATAAGAAGAGGACTAACAACTGGGGTGGTGAAAAGTGGCTTAAGACACAGAATGCGTGTATGTGTGCGAAATAGGGGTGGACATGTGGAACATGTATTGTAAAAAATATTAATAAACCTTATTCGTTTCCTATTTGGATTGTTTCATTTTGTTTTCTGA